TTTTTCTTATAACGTTTTCTTTGCAATGTGACATGTGGAAATTGAGAGTGTGTAAAAATATTTCTTCCATCCCAAAATAGAACGTATATTTCATGGCTTCTCGAGGAGTCAAATTTATTTTAAGTTTGACTAAAATATAAAAAATAATATCAGGTTCAAAAGGAGTTGATATTTGTATCTTCAAATAAATTTATTATGAAAGTATATTCCATGTCTGATCTAATGATACTTATAAAAATATTAGTATTATAAAATATTTCATCGAATTTTAAAAAGTGACTCATCAGAAAACAAGGTATGTGCTTATCTGGGACGGAGGGAGTATGACTTATCGTGTACCTTTTTTTAAAAAATGAACAGTGGTAAAACTAGACCTTTTTTGTGTAATGATTTATGGAACCCTACCATGACCACTTTTGTGTTTGTTTTCCGTTTCAAAACATTATAAATGTAGACATTCATACATGTATGCACACTCATTCTTATGGAAACATGTACATACCTTGCCTTTATGAACACCTCTGAGACTGAGCTAGCGGATCTTGAAATTGATAAATTCACCTGAAGTACCTCGCCATCGATGGACAAGCCGTATCCTCTATGGTATGATTTATTAAAATATAAGTGCTCATATTAATTGATAAATCTAAAAGGCACAAGCATAGGTCACTTGAAATACCGGGAGAGGAATACAGGTCCGAGCGCAGATAACGAAGGAGAGGGTAGTACCCCTGGCCGCACGAATGGCTGTGAATTTTTTTTTAAACAAGGGCTGTGAATATTTTTAGGTCCTCATGTGAGGTAATCAGAGTACCCTAGCAACTTGATCCGAATGCCCAGTAATGTTAGTGGTAAAACTGATTTGTAGTACTGTAACATTAGTCGTCTTTGGTTTCGCGCTCCATATGTACAGTACATGCATACACAAAACTAAACTGCTTGATCACAATCACCTCGACAATCTGGTGACGCACGAGTCACGAACCCAGCTGCGCCTACCTACATATGCCTCAAATTTGTTAGCATCTGTTGCTTTGCAGAGTCGTCGAGACTCGAGAGCAAGCGCTGCTTTCATCTTCATGGAGAGAGAGAGAGAGCGCGCGCGCGCGCGAGAGGGTAATAACGTACTCCATCCATCCGAAAATAAACGGACGTCTCGTTTTCTAATGCAAGTTTAATTGAATATATAGAAAACAATATCAAGATTTAAATAAATAAGTTTACTATAAAGGTATATCTTTCATGCTCAATCTAATAACACTTATGATTTATCATGAATACTAATATATTATATATATATTTAGTCATCAAACTTTAAAAGATTTGACTCTTTAAGAAATAAGGTGCGTGTTTATTTTAGGACGGAGTGAGTACTCACTCTAGCTTGTTTAACTTGTCCAACAAAAAAGCCGATGATATCCAATAATAATATGTTATCTCAATCTAAAAGACTACAATTCTGGATTAAATTTTATTAAACCTGTTAAATTGAACTAGCTATATAGAAAATATTATTAACATTTATAACTCCAAATAGGTATATACCATCAAAGTATACCTAAAACTAATCAAATGATACTTATTCAGTTATTTTTTACAGATTAGCAAACGTGCTCGTGCGTTGTAACGGAACCCAACAATTTTGAAATCGTATTCCATACTATTATTAGACGCGAGTTGTTCTATCTCGTATGCGAGCATATTATAAGCTACGATTACATATAGAACGTGGAGGGTCATTGCAAAAGAAAATTTTGCTCTTTAATATTAATTATTGCTTATAGATATAGATATGATAGATATAGATAAAGATAATATATAGCTATAGATATAGATTTATCAGGTTAAAACTGGAGCGGAGGAGTCCCTAACACCTCTAAATTTAAAATTGTTTGAGTCTTAGTAAAATGCATTTTTTACTGAGGGAGTATATCTCTGGCAAATCGTTAAGAAAGATGTACCAACTGACATTCGGCATCAGTGAGCAGAAATCTGATTATCTGAGTGAGGAGGTTCGTGGCATCTATACGGTGGGGCTCTTTCCCTGAGAGGCCAGGCAGATGCCGCGGCAGTACAGTGCGGCACATCTCCATCTGCTTTCTCAATTCTCATCGTTAGCTACCACTAGCCTCTATGGTGTTACCGTCGTCTGAACATGATGGACTCCGTTTCGCGTGTAGGGGACGCTAAACAGAAACCCGCGAATACGACGACGGGCAGTCGGGCAGGATCGCACGGATGACTGTACGTACACAGGTAGCAGTGTGAGTCGTCCGTGACCCACATCGATCGGCGACACGGCAAGGGTGTGCATGGCACGTGGAGCACAAGGGAAAGGGAGACACGCCGGCGGCCAGCAGCTTCCTTCCAGCTACCTACAAATGCAGGCTATTTAAGCAGCGCACTGTACGTCGATGCATTCTGCGTGTAGCAGGAGCAGTGCTGTGGAGCAAGGACGAGGACGGGTGCGGCGGCCCTCCTGCCTCTCTCTCCCTCTCAAGCTCAACAGCTGGGCCTAGGAGTATAGTACCCCTACAGTACAGTGTTATATCTGTCGGTCGTTTGAGTCCGTTTCACGCGGAATTTGGCGACCCGTATCCGTGGATGGATGCGTGGTGGACGGTTGCGCGCTGACGCTGACACGGCGCACATGCATGTGCACCTCGACGTCGGGACGACGACGGGTGGAGCACGGCGGTTGCAGGCGTGGCCCCACGTGGTAGCGACCCGTCGCCCGCAAGGGACAAGGCGACAGGTTCAGATTTGGTCAGTAGGTTAGGCGAGTGTCGTAGCAGCGGTAGCAGTACTGTACATAGGTAGCAATGCATCGAGTGTTTGGGTACTACTGTACCGGTAGCGACTCTGACCCTGATCCAACATTCGAGAAGGGCAGAACGTGATGGGCGTAGGAATTAGCAGTCGGCAGAGCTGGCGGCCTTCATGGGTTTTTTTTAAATAATATTATTTTGATAAACAATTGTAGATCTAGATGTTGTTTTAAAAATTACAAAATTAGTATCCTATTGGCCGTCCAGATGCCGATACGACACCTATAGGTATCTGGATGGCCGACATGTGGTCCCATATGTTCCATGTCCTATCGGCCAGTCAATTGCCGATATTAACCAGTCGGGCTGTCCACGCACCGATAGGCTGATGGACATTATTTATTTATTTATTTATTTGACCGAAACCAGCTCCTGTTGAATTGGACATGTCATTTTCCTTTTGTTTTTTTTATATATTTCGCATGGCTACCGTGGTCCTGGTCTCGGCACCGAGGTTGAGGGCATAGGCGTTTCAGGTTGAGGCACCGAGGTTGCCTACACAGAACAAACATGCAAGTTGCCTACATTTCTTATTGTCATATCTACTCCCTTCCGTTCACCAAAAAAGAAAATACAACTGCGCTTTTTCAAAAATCAAACAATTTAAAGCTTGACTAAACTTATATAAAAATATACTAACAATAAGGAGACAAAATAAGTATCATTAAATTGAACGTAATTCATAGTTGCATTTTTTTTACGGAGAGTATCAAATAACACTGGAATAAATCCAGCGCTACAACTGAAAGCGCAACGCCCTATGCACACAAACGCTACCCCTATGAGCACCGCCGTCAAATCTTAGAATAAATCTGGCGTCTGTCACTGAAATCACAGTGCCATTAAATCCTAAAATAAATATAAAAAAATACGAGTATCTGTGTCAAGTCTAGGACTTAACCCGGATGGACATATTCGACCATAATGAAGCTAACCAACTGAGCTAGCTCAGTTCGTAGTCAAATACTACTTCTAATTTAATTAGTGGTGTGAAAAATACAGTGTTCATGTTTGCATGTGACCTTATCGAAGCAATAGAACATGGCCTACTTTGAAATTAAATATTAATATGAGCGGGTATGCATATAATTGAACATGTGCTTTATTAAGAAACTTTGGATTTTTACCTAAACATATATATAGAATATGACAAAGTACTTTGGATTTTTTTTGAATTTGTGGAGACCATTTCAGGGCTATAAACAACTTAAGCAAAAACTCAAATATATCATTACAGAAAGAATTTTAATTTGAAAACTATAAAAAGCAATGATGCTAGACCCAAGCAAAATTGGTTGTGTTTGATTCTTAGTATCCACATAAAAAATTACAATATTTCTTAAGGTGTTCAGGTATTTTATTTGAGATAAAAAAATAAAACATAAAAATAAATGGTGCATTCGGAAATGTTGCTATCCAATCGGCCACCCTAAGACTGACACGCCTGTCGGAACTCGGAACCGGGTGGGCCGACTACAGTCGGCTGCTGAATTACCGACTAGTCTTCAGTCACTAGGACCATACTTTAATTTTTTTTTCTCTGCCATGTATAATGTAGGCTGTCCACTGGCCGATAGGTACTCTGTCGGCTGCAGTTTTACAATTTTATAAAAGCAACATCTAGATCTGCAATTATTTATTAGAATAATATTATTTCAAAAAAATCCCTTCATGGCGACGGCGATCACCACCAGTCCATGCAATGCAAGCAAAATCCCCGTGCCAGCTTTACTGGCAGGCCTTCCCTTCAGCTGTTTTGTTCAGCATCGTGGTGTAGCCGTGTAGCTGCCTCTGAATTCTGTTCAGCTTCGTGCTGATGACACCACAGTCAGTTTCTGTTGTCCATGTGACTACCCGAAAATGCCAAGAGGGAAGGAAGGTGATGTGCCCTCGTTAGACACCAGAAGAGAAGAGACACGTCCTGTCCTTTTTCCGACCGGCGCATCACTGTTTCCTCACGCGCTCGCGTTATGGAGGGGCGGTGACCGGTGAGTCCGTGCCTGTGACCGCTGTAGCCTTGCAACCGACCACGGCAGCAGCAGCCATGGTGGAAGTCCATCGACTCCATGGTACACCCCTTCTTCGAGTATTCATTCGCTCTAGTACCCACCCATCCATTAACTGCAGTAATTGGGGATGGAGATGTTTTCAGCGCTGCAACATTGTACTCACTCAGCTTCGTCCGTTGGGTCCATCAGAATCTGATGCCCTGGGCCCTGGGCCCTGGCTGCTGCCTGCTGGGCTGGTGGTGACTGGTGAATGCCTGAATGGTGATCCATCTCCCGTTCTCCCTGCGGCCGGCACATCGGGCAGCTTGGTTGGGGACTGGGGGAGCCTCTGCTTTGACGGCAAGAAGAAAAGGGTTCCTCTGCTCTGCACAGCACAATCAACAGGAACAGAGTTCGTACAATTTTCAGGCCAACTTGTTAATTACTGTACCTGAAAAAGTTTTGAAAACGAGGTCCGGATGCAGGAGACCTCTGAAATTTGCTGCCGTATGCACGTTCTACATATCCATCACCATCAACGTAACGTGGAGTCGTGGAAGCTCTCTGATACGCGAAATTGGGATAAACGTGCCACCAACAATGATGCCAATGTTTTCAATGACGTCAAAAGTGCATGTAGTTTACCTCATACATACTTCCAAAATTTCAGACTCAAAGTGCTCCGTCCATTCCAAATTATAATTCACTTTGACTTTTTTGGTTCAACAATTTTGTTACGTATCTAGACATATTATTATATCTAGATGCATATCAAATAAATATATAAAAAAAGTTAAAACGACTTATAATTTGAAACCGAGTAGTACATGATAAGACAGAGTTAATAGCTATATGTATATACAAACAGACCCCGTTAACGTGGATTAGAAGCTATGAGAGAAATACCTGCAAAATAAAAATCAATCAGGCAGACATATGTATGAGTTAAGACCTCATGTGGGCAAAAAAGAGAGGAAGCTCAACAAGGGTTCCCAAATCTCGTGTAAACTGTGATAACTAGAAGAAAAGAAAAGGTAGATCAAGGTAATAGGTTCATTTAATTGGGTAAGGAATCCAACCTAACCTGGCAATGTAGATATTGTGCCAGCTATTTTTGAGCAAGTCTAACACCACTTCAATGTCCTTTTGTTGTTTTTGCCCATTCAACCCTAGTCATCACCAATCCCACTATCCCAAAAATTCCTTGTGTACCATGTCCAGGACAATCTAGCCAATTGAACCCCAACAGTCCAGCATACCAAATGATTTGGGCCCACTTCAATCTCTCGATATATTTGGCTTACAGCTTGAAAACATATACCACAGTATACATATCATAAGTTAATGGACCACTACATAGTGATCTTTAGTTCTTTACTATTTTGGCTTCTGTCATTCTTGTTGAATTTTACAAGCTGTGGGGAAAACCAAGAAGAACATAATATAATACTTGTTGATGTGGCAGTAGGATAATGATTTGTCTTAGAAAGGACCATATAACAAAACAAACACGTGCATAATTGAATAGAATATTGCTATGAGTGAAGCATCTATCTCCAGCCCTGGTCCTGCTCATAGATCCATAATTAAACAAGATGGTCCTCATGAGTAATTAAACAGGTAAGAGAACGAATGGCTGAAAAAGAATAGTGCAGCAGTCAATAAATATACTCCCACATGGATATCTTGTAGCACTGTTATATTCTAACAATCAAGTATCAAGCCAACAAAGAGAGTACAAGAAACTTGGGGCAAGCAAAGGCACCTAGCAAGAGAGAAGAAAATATGCCATCAAAATCACATGTGGGACATTTTTTAAACATTTTCTTTTATTGAAAATGCAGAAGAGCTGTTTATTATTATATTAAGAAGAAAAGGGGAAGATCCCTTACAAAACATCCCACACACACATGAAAAAGAAGTTACAAATCACATTTGCTTCAAGAAAAGATAAGGATATGACTGCAACTTAAATAACACACTCTACTATGATGATTGGGCGAAAAGGTAAGAAATACCTTTAGCCCCAGCCAAACACAACTGAATTTCCTCGCTAGCGACTAGCAAGCAACAAGGCTGTAGCTAAACAAGGAGGTACACTATCAAAAACACATCTATTGCAGTGATTCCAAATGGTCAAGCCCCCCAAGAATCACAAGGGAGTTGAGGCCTTTCTGGACAACTAATTCTTCATACAAAATAAAGCATTGTCAGGTACTTGAAGACTTTGAGTTTGGGTCAACGTGCCTCCTTAAAATCACCAGTACGTTGAGGGGAATTTCCTTATATGCCACTGAAAAAATTACTGTCTCCCTGATATGCCATCAGTGTGACTGTGATACATGGGGACCCACCAGTCACTGACAGTGGCATATCAGGGATTTAGGTTTTACTGGCATAGGAGGAATTCCTAAGTAAAGACTAAAGTCCCAGTGTGAGAAATATTTTCATAGACTGGCATATCAGGGATTTAGGTTTTACTGGCATAGGAGGAATTCCTAAGTAAAGACTAAAGTCCCAGTGTGAGAAATATTTTCAGACTCATAAATGTTGAATGCATAGACAAGTGTGTCAATTTTATAGAGAGAAGGACTAGAGTGACACCAGTTCAGCAGATTTCAGAACTACATCTTCCATGAAGCAAACTGACCTGTTTTCAGTATATCAAAACAGGCTCACTAAATGAATGATGATTAACCAGAAGGGGTAGGTTAATCCAACAGTATATGAGGGCACTAAGCATATAATGCTACATGGATTCAAATCAATGATTGGTATAAAAATGAGAAATAATATGGTGTATGAAGCACTTAGCATAAGTACAGATAACGTAATTTCATCATGTTGGCCACTCAGTAACTCATTTATACACATACAGACCTCTGTTTTCCAAAACTAAAACAAAATACATTGAATAACTGAAATACTACAAAAGGCAAATGTAAGTAACACTGGAATAACTATTGATGCTATTTTCAAAGGATGGCAAATTTAAAATGAAGTAACAATGGAATTACTAAATAGAAAGGCATGGAAAAAAAAGATGGCTCCAACACACTCATGCTATGCGCCACCTTTTCTTCTCCTTACAGTCCTTTTCACAGGCTGCGGAGTTCCAGCAACAACTCCACTGCTCTTCTGATTATGATCATTCACAGGTTGCTCCTTCAGAGTTTCATTAGTCTCTGGGGGTCCTCTTGGTCGGCGAGGTGCTCTTGGTTTCTGAGAACTGTTTGTACTAATCTGCCTCCTTAGGCGCAGTATCTCACCCTTTGCTAACGCCAATTCCTCTTCAAGATGTCTAGACCTCAATTCAAAGCTCTCCTTCTCTGTCTGAAGCCTTGTGATCAGACTCTGAGCATCTTCAGTGTTTTCCTTAGCTTCAGTTGTGATTTTCGTTTGTTCAGCTAGAGCCTTGGATAGCATTTCTTTCTCAGCTTCAAGAGTGTCACTCCTAGAATGAGTGCTCTCAAGTTGTTTAGACAGTAACAACGCACTATTGTTCATCTCATCTAGTGACTTTGTTGCCTCATCCAGGTCTGCTTCGAGAGCTTTTCTTGCTTCAGAATCTACCTGCAACTGTTTCACCAAGACTTCAAGTTCCCTATTTAAGGTTGTCACAATTTTTCTTTCCTCAACAAGCTCATGTGTGGTGGACTCCAAATTCTTGTACACGTCCAGCATTTCTTTCTTCAAGTTGTCACGAGCTTCAACAATAGATGCCAGCTCATTAGAGGTGGCTTCAAGTTCTTCTTGCCCCTTTTGAACCATTTCCTTTACAGAAGCCAAATCTTCTGACAGAGCTTTGGATAATGATTCTGCCTCTCCTAGTTTATTAGTGAGATCTACTTGCATTGCATTGGACTCCTCTTGGAGTTTAGAAATTTGTGATACCAGGTCCTCATTCAATTCATTTGCCTCCTGAAGCTCCTTGGAAAGTTTGGAAACCTCACTTCTGGAAGTCTTTAGAGCCTCTTCAGATGATCGAATTGAATCTTTTAAAGCTTCCATGGCCTTAAGTTCATTCTCTAGCATCATTTTGGTAGCATCCAACTCCTTGTTCAACTCAACAATTGTTTCTTGATCTTTGCTAGAGTCAGTTAATGCAACAGACAGTTTTTCTTCAAGCTGTTTTATCTCATCATCTCTTTCTGATAGTAGTTTGGAATCATGGTTTGCCCTTGTCTCTGAAGCAGCCTTCAGGTCTGTATACTCTTGTATTAACTCGTTAATTTTTTTGTCAGCTTCTTCCTTTTCAGAGTTCAACGTTTCAAGTTTAGCATTGAGTGAATCAATAGAAGATATCTTAGAAGCGAGACCATTCTTAGTTGTATTGAGCTCTTCCTCAAGTTGTTGTACTCTAGAATTTGCAAGCTCAAGGCTCCTTTTAGTTTCATTTGTGAAAGCGGTCAGCTTTTGGTAGTCTACTTCCTTCGAGGAAAGTGATGCACAGAGTTCCCTGATGTGCTTCTCCTTATCATCAATTTCTTGGCTGAGTAAACTTATCTTTTCCTGCAAAACATTAATCTCACCAAGCTTTTCTTCCAATTTAGTTTTAAGCATATCCTTATCAATGCCAGCTTGTCTGATACTACTCTCTAATCTCTGTATTTCATCCCTAAGTTCCTCAGCTAATTTCTTCTCCTTTCTGAATTCTTCACTCAGTGATGTCAAAGTCTTTGTTGTTGAAGCCAACTGACCTGAAAGAAAAACTTCCTGCTCCTGGAATTTCATAGATTGCTTCTTTTGTGCTGCTTGCTGCTGCAGTAACCGTTTCTCATAGTTTTCCCTCATCAAAGAAAGTGCTGCCTCATTTTCAGCCAATTTGCTCTCCGTCTGAAGAAGGTAGAACATTGAATACATCAGGTCTCCAATTTCCATAGATCAACTTTTAGAAAATAGAACAATTAGCATATCAAAGGTGTTCAAAATACTTTTGGTAGCTTTCTGTATTCATAAGACATTACAGATGTCGGCTTTTTTCAGAATCATGGTGGAAAAATGGTAATACAATGAATCATTAGGTTTTCACAGAGTTTTATCCTCTTTAACGTTCCTACTCTCACGTATGAAATAATGAAACAAAACCTGGACTTGCAAAAACATATCACCAGCACTGATTTCCCTCAAACACCCATCATTGCAGCAAGGAAAGAAAATTGTCCGTTCCTCAGAGGCATAATTCAGACTAGGAAAGCAACATGGACAACAAACAGGAGGTAAATATTTTGCATCAAACCGTTCTCCCTCAGATTATGAAGGATACTACAAACAGATTTCATTTTACGTGGTTCAAGGTTCAGTTTACTAATAAAGCTCTCAAGATTTCAGTGTTGCTACCTTTAGGGGGAATAGTAGAACTCGTGCACAAAAATTTCTTTACTACTTGGTGACTGGTGTAAAACTCTCCTCTACTTCTTCCTTGACTAAGGCTACAAAAATATACAGTGGAGCGCGTTGAAATGGTGTAAATGTTGGAAACCACACGAAATTGAGATACATGCTTACATAGAAGCCTACAAAACCAAAGAAACCAGACGTGTAAGTGTAAAAAAAGGAACACAGCTGATGAAAGCATAAAGCATAACCCCCAATACCCCATAATATAAGGCTAAAAGACAGATATTTAAAAAGTGTCAACATAAAGATCATGAGTTTGGAAAAAAGGTAAAGTCAAACTCCTTGAATACATTAAGAGCAATTTTTATTAATTTAATGGCTAAGTATCAGATCTGTGTACTTTGGCCTAAGAATGGTGTGCACACTGCACTGGACACAGTGCTTAGTTTTCTCTAAATACAAAAGGATGCTAGAAAAATTGCCCGTGTCACGACACCACAAATCAAAGTATTGTACATGTGTATATATAGCTAGGTCGCACGATGCTTTTAGAAGATTTGGGTAGTGCGGTGAAACTGATTTGTGTTAAATGGCAAGGATGGATAAATAAGCGAAATATAGGGGTCGAGTTTATTTCAAAAATATATATATAGGGGTAGAGTAGGGGTGATGACAGGCACACCATGAGCACCAACTCCATTGTTTTAGTAAGTAATAGAGATTTTACTAACTGGAAATATATGCATAATATGTGATTATATGACGATAAGATCATGGATGTTTTGGAGAAGCGGTGCATGCTGGGATGCCTCATGAATCGAGCATCATGATTCTCATTTAGGCTATATGAAATTAAGAATCAACATATCTAAACTAAAACAAACAGTAAAACACATTAACTGCAGGTTTGTAGATGATTTACTGAGGAGATAATTGATTGCAGGGCCTTTTTTTCTTGTAGAGAAGTGCCGTACAGCCCACCAAGAACACCAGAGGCAGCAACTCCAACTGTGCCAAGAAAGTCAACCAGTGGATTCTCTGGAGGTTGTTCTTGCACCAACTGTAAGGATGATTCACGCTGACGAGCTTCAGGAGTAGTAGTTTCAACCTGAGTTCCTTCAGGTTGAGTGTTTTCAGGTTTTGCAATACCCTTTGTCCCTTCAAATTGAGGGACATTCTTTGTCTCTACAGACAAGAAATTTATCAACAACTTATCTATGTTTGTGGAATGATGACACAGGCATAAATAAGTGCTCAATGATCAATGACCAGGAAAAAAACTCATTAAAATATGCATAATTATATTTCAATTCCCTAATGTCAATGAGGCAACACCGCCAACTTAGTTAAGTCAAAACAATCTCATCTCAAAGCAAAATGTATTAGTGACCCCCATGGCCCCATGCCAGTTTACAGAATACAGCATATCTAGATGGTCAGTTCAATCCATTCATGTGGCTATAAGCAGTCAAAAGAACTGTGCAAGTACGACAAAAAAAAGTCTATAGGACAACAAATCTAAAGGTCACGTGTTATGGTAGTTTTCAAAAGAATTTGTGGTAATTCCATAAAAAAAGAATTTGTGGTAATCATAACTCCTATCTTTCACACATACTACTCATATAAGGTGGAAGTTCTAACCATCAATCTTATCCTCCTTAGGTCTACAGATGATGGAATTACGTCCAATCTTGAAAGTTTCGTAGCAATTCTCAGCTTCATGATTTACCTTTGGGGAATCAATCCCCTTTCTTCTAACAAACCCTTCGAATAATGACACACCATAAACTGCGGGAAATTGAGAAAAGGTGACATCTGATCATATGTGGTAAACAAACTCAAATACCACTAGGAACATTTATGTGGATAATGAGTACACTATTCCAATTCTAGATTTCTTTTTCCACCAGAATATTAACCTCCAAGGAAGACAGTCATACACTAATTCAAGACTGCGTGTTTGTGTTTCACGAATTTCCTGCGACACCTGTTGTCAATAACATAAAGAACTAGGGGCCTGAATACCAAATTAAGAAGTTGCACACATGGAATTATAACTATTAGGCAGCATTTGAAACAGTATGTTACTCCATAAACTCCAAACTTTTAGTTCTTTCATCAGTATGAGTGATGCTCCCCAGTCCCAACGCTCAAGATGCATGCAACCATTAAGGAGCTAATGGGTTTTGACGTGTAAAACCTGACATAAAGTTGATTTAAAGTTTCAATTTCTTCAGAAGCAAACTCAACTCTGGGAACAGTTTTAGCATCTACTAATTCTTCTTCATACATGCATGCCCTGCTCCAAAAAGGAAAATCGTGCCTGCCACAAACATCAAAGTTGCTTAGAGCATACTCCTAGATGGATTCAATACCCAGCGTATTCTAAACTCTTGTATCCACTGTTTGAACAACAGTTGTAAATCCTCATTCTAGTCGGCAGATGCACATTTGAGCCAAGCCCAAACAATTCATGCATTGTTATATAAGGCCACAATGCAGCACTATATATATGTATATAGCAACAATGTCCTCTGCAGAAACGACATGTCACCTTGATACTCTCATGCTCCTATATTGCAGAACAATTAACAATTGTTAATATCAATCCACATAATTCCATACGGATTTAACTCGCAACATTACTCCACAGCATGACTAGGACCCAAGTTAAGACGGACGATTGACAGCGAATTGCGAAACCAAATTTTACACCAGCACTGGCAGGGAATAGGATAGGCACTAACCCTTCACGAGGTCCACGGGCGTGGGCGCGGCAGCAGCTTCACGGAGGCTGACGAACGGTATGGCCGAGGCGCCGAGGAGCACCACCCGCCGCGCCAGCACGTAGGCATCGGCGGCCGCCGCCGCCGCGGGAGAAGGACCGCCATCGAGCGGCGAGGCGGCCGACGCAACGACGAAGACCCCGCCTCGCCGCGCGCGGCGACGGCAGGCGGTGGCGCCCGAGGAGGAGGAGGCGTATTGGAAGGCGTGCGGCGGAGACGGCGACGGTGACGGCGAGAGGACGAGGTAGCCCATCCCGCGCTGGAGAAGCGAAGCCCTGGCTAGCTCACAGTCCCAGCGCTCGCCTCCAGTCCAGCGTGCTAGCGCGTTCGAAGTTTTGGGGGAGGCAGTGGAAGTGGCTCAGGCTGTGGCGACGAAGGCGCGGATTAGGAGTCAGCCATCGCGACGGAGACGGGGGCGAAAGGCCGAAAGCGCACGCGGCGAGTAAAGCGAGCAGGTGATGGATCACCACCGGAGAAAGGACATTTTTGAGGCGTGAAATTACTCTTCTGTCCCCTAATCACGAGGCGCGATGCCGAGGGTGATTTGGGGTGTTAGCGAGTGGGGACTGGGGAGCCACCGGCCTTGTGCGTAAAAGAGGGGCGGGGCAGGAAATGACAAATGCACCCTGCAGGAGGTTTATTTCGTGGGCTCGAGGACGAGGTTAAGGTGGCTATTTTGTGCGGTCGGTGAGTGGGACAGGTTCGACGAGCAGGCTGATCCGGAGTGTGGGTGTGAGATTCGGCCACGTGGTTGAGCGGGCCCCAGGCACTAGGGCCGTGGGAATCTTAAAGCCCAACTCATGCTGTTGTCTCTGTTGGGTTTCGTATTCGGTCTTTTTATTGGGCCTCGTAATTTGTTGCAGCTTTTTCATTTGTTTCTGTTTGGGGGCTATTACTAGTTACTAGAAACGAAATTACATGGCGGCGGGGCGCGAGCGGGTCCTTGCCGCGGTGCCGAGGTGCCGGCGTCGCTCGGTCGGCTGGGTTCCACTGCTCTGAATGTTGACGCTCGTTCGTCGCTCTATCTAGGCCGTCTCCTTCCTCGACGAATGAATGGATGACGCCGTCTCCTTCCGTGAAGATGACTTTACTTTGGGACGGGCTGGACTCAGGGCTAGACGGACGGGCTGGGTCCAAGCGTGGCCTAGATAGAAAATAATTAGCAAAAAAAGTAATTACCTTATTTGGATGCTTTAAAATTCATGCAAATCTTCGAGGGAGTAGTACCGGAGCAGATGCCTAAATTCAGAGGGTTTCAAAAATGCATTCTAGAATATGCTAACGATCAATAGATAAACATTAAAGACGTCAAATATATCTACTAGACTACTACGTACTTCTATGACCGGAGGTAGTAGTATCTATCTAGAACATATAGATGCGTGCTGCCACCTTAATAGGGCGAAACTATCATTTTGTCTGCAGTCTGCACCTAAGTAAAGCCTGCCAAATTTATTTGTTGTATATTATTATACAACGGATATTATACATAAAAAATCCTCTTATAAATATACCCTCAAATTCAGTCTCATATATGCCGCGTTCACTTCAAAGTTCATTTCACCTCTCCACTTCCTCTCTCAGACAAGGCCATGGAGCCCCAGAAGGGTTATCTCCGTCGTATTGCGTTCTTTGTCTTCGAGATGTGGCTTGCAACCGTCTTTGCTCTGCTTATCTTATTTGCGCTCGCGAGCATCGGCAGGTCCTTGGGCATGCTAGAAAAGAGCTACTACACCGGGATTGGAGTAGCTTCTCCGGGAGATAGTATCATATCTCAAGATTCTTCCGAGGTGAAATTTGTGTTAACATTTTTTTTAATTCCCATCATATATATGGCCAGCATTTTTCTTTCATTCTTCTGATGACTGTGAGAAGGAAGAAATATGGTGCTTGTATTTCTCAGATGGTTAAATTCAAACATCTAACTCTGCTAAATGCTTAGATCTATATATCTTAAACCATCAGTAATATATTGTTCTCAAATATATCTTTAACTATCATTAGTAGGAAAACTTTGAAATAAATACTAAATCGGAGGTTTTATTCTACATCCAGTGTAGAACGTGGCAAACTGTATTTCACAACATCTTGAGTTCTATCATGCGCATTGATTATAGGTGTTACATATGATTTTTTTTTTCTGGTGTGCTAAACATAACATTTAATAAAAAGAGAAGAAATTAAAGTTCTATCTCATGTACCATACAACTTTGGCATAACATCTAATGATCTAATGCCTTATGTTCATTGTCATAACACAACATCACAACAATCAATTGTCTTGGATATTAGAGTATAGTATAATACTACCTTGTCCTGAAATATTAGAAATTCTAGATGTACAAGTGCTTGTTCAGGTACATAGCAAAATCCTTTTATATTTCAGGCGAGATGTAGTATCCTGCATTGTGGAGAGTACTGTACATTGCAAATAATAGCCTTATTCGTTTCTTATTGGAAGAACAAATGCACATTATATAATTCTAGTTAGCGCTGTTTTCATTTTGTGGAAAATTGAAAATACAATTAGCAATATGCTTACTCCTACATACTCCCCCTGTTACATAATGTTTGTAAGTCTAGGATTAAAGGTTTTATTAAATTATCATATTGTCACGTTCCAAAGCATTATGAACTTCGTAGTCCCTACCCTTCATCGATGTACATACCACGTCCAATCAAATCGGCAACCACACCACGTCTAGTGATGAAGTCATGCAAGAACTTTGATGCATTCCCTCTGTCCCGAACAGGCTGCAGAATGGCGAAACTGATGGGATCCTTCCTCGGTCTGAATTTGCAGATTTGGCCCAGATGTTGCCCAAGGTAGCCACCGACGACAGGACGGTGATCATCACGTCGGTGAACGAAGCGTTCGCGCGTCCCAACTCGCTTCTCGGCCTCTTCCGCGAGAGCTTCCAGGTCGGTGAAGGGATCGGCCACCTCCTGGACAATGTCCTCGTCGTCGCCGTCGACGCCAAGGCGTTCAGCTACTGCAAGGCCGTGCACCCACACTGCTACCTCCTGCAGGTGAAGACCATGGACCTCAGCTCCGCCAACAACTACATGACCGAGGCCTACGTTGAGCTCGTCTGGACCAACCTCTCCCTGCAGCAGCGCGTCCTCGAGCTCGGCTACAACTTCCTCTTCACGGTACGCGTCGGCACCAATCATCGTTGAATAATCCGAAGTTTCCTCCTGATCTGGGCTGACGACGGCGGCGATTGTCCAAGATGTGCCGTGCAGGACGTGGACATCGTGTGGTTCCGCAACCCGTTCCGGCACATCAGCGTGTTCGCGGACATGACGACGTCGAGCGACGTGTTCTCCGGCGACGTCGACAGCCTGGACAACTGGCCCAACACGGGGTTCTTCTACGTGAAGGCGACGAACCGGACGGTGGAGATGCTGCGGCGGTGGCGCGGCGCGGGCGCGGTTCCCGCCGAACCACGAGCAAGCCATCTTCAACGAGATCAAGCACGAGCAAGCGCGCGTCCAGTTCCTCGACTCGGCGCGCTTCGGCAGCTTCTGCCGGATCTTCCACATCGACATGGCCGCGGCGTGCACCATGCACGCCAACTGCTGCGTGGGGCTCGGGAACAAGCTGCACGACCTAAGGGACGTGCTCGACCAATGGAAGAACTACTCGGGCCTGATGCCGCAGGAGAAGAAGAGGCAGAAGTTCACATGGAAGGACCTGTCCGAGTGCGGGACTCCGGACAAAACGCACACATGAGTCCGAGAAATGCACTACAACTGCAACAGCAAGCAGGAATCAACCAAGCTAGCTCAGTTTTTTTGTTAAAATCTATTCACTCGAGTTTAAGTTTTCGGCTGTTTGTATTTTTTTGAATTTAGAATTTATCAGCGTTATTCTTGTGTGTGTGTTTTAAAAAAAATGTACTTGGTTCCTTGCGAACGTCCTGACTAGGCTTCGTGCATGTAGCTGCTGAATGTTTGGATGCCTGAGTGAAGGTCTGGTCTTGTTCCTCAGCGTGCAAAAGCAGCCAGCACCTGGCTCCTAGAAAGCAAGAATGAAATGATATTAGCAAATAATTAGCATATTTTGCAGTATATCAGTATGTTGCAAAAATAAATTGAGGCTTAGAAAATAAGTATTGTAAAGTATAAACAAAGTAAATACTATTTTTGTTCTTGTCTTTCCATTTTAATTTTATATACCAATTACCAAATATCTTAGTGCATCTAATAAATTAAACGCTCAAATTCAGTAAACACGAACAACTATTGCATATTCAGTCTAGATGCGGCTATGCGAGCCAGGCTCCCTTGGGCCTTGGGTGCTTTGGTAGCCTCTACTCCAATTTCTGCTGGTGGGCCAAAATTGAAGCCGCCAGCCCCAGGTACTCAAATTCGCAGCACGCGGAGGCCCAACGGAATCCTCGTCTAGCTCACGCACACGTTCCCCACTCTTCAGTCGTTCTCCCATTCAACGGCCGCGGCTGCTTGCGAGTCTGCGACCGTCGTCGACTGCGACAAGCAGGGAGCAACAAATCACGCATCTGCCCTCCGCTGAGCGACAGTAAAACTTCACGATGTCAGCCGTATTTTGTTGTCGTTGTAACGCTGCTCTACTCAGTTCTGATTTCGCTTGCACCGCCGCGAACCTTCCGGCGGGTTTGGACGCCGAGCTAAGCCAGGTTTTGCTCTAATCTCCCGTCACTTTTTTCCCGGTTGATTAATAAATTATCTTTCTGGGATTATGCACTAGGAAGATCCCACAAATTCCAATCCGTTTAAAGTTCATATTATATTTATATACATATACTTCTCTATAACTTTCTAGAGTCCCCTTAACGTTTTTTATTAGAAGCTTAAGCGCTGGTCACGGAGTATGTAATTTTTTATTTACCTATGTCTATGGTAACTTTCTAGAGTTATGTATCCCTAGAAGTCCAAAAGAAACCGGTTGCTACTAGCATCACTCATGCTGATAGATTGTCATCTAACGGTTTAGATGTCAGATGACATCATGATGACGCCGGTTTAAATCACTAAAGATTTTTTTTTTGCTCAAAGAAGCTATTGTTGTTTTTTCCTTAAAAAGAAAGCTATTATTGTTTTAATCTGAGCTTAGATATCATTTGTTCATGTATGTAATCCTTTCCAGAGATATCCATTGTACAAACAAACAAACAACGACATAGCCTTTTAGTCCAAAGTAAGCTAGGATAGGTTAGAGTTGAAACCCATCAAAAGCCCCAAGTCGTAGTTCAGGCACTTCAATAGCTG